CTATTTTTTTTTTTGTAGTTTTAGTAGAGACAGGGTTTCACTGTGTTGGCCAGGCTGGTCTCGAACTCCTGACCTCGTGATCCACCCGCCTTGGCCTCCCAAAGTGCTGGGATTACAAGTGTGAGCTGCTGTGCCCGGCCTAGGTGGTCTTTAAAGTGGTTGACCCGCATGACCCAGCTGTGCTTCCCAGAGGATGGGCGTGTTCTGATCTGCTGTCCAAGTCGGCAGCCAGTGGCTGCCCATGGCTGTTCCTAAGCACTTGGTGTGTGGCAAGAGTGACAGAGTTCTTATTTCAACTTAAGTGAAAATCTCACCCGTGGCCGGCGGCTACCGTGCTGGACAGCACAGGTGCGGACAGGGGAACCCTGGGAGCCGCAGGTTTCAGCTTTGGGGAAAGGAGGATGAACTAGCAAAGGCGGCCAAGAAGGAATAGCCTGAAAGGCAGGAGACCCCAGGCTGCCGGGTGACGAGGATGGCAAGAATGGGCTCCAGGGAAGAGCACATAGCCCTGGGTCACTGCGCCGAGCCTGAGCCGAGGACCGAGATGAGAACCGTGGTTGACTCAGCAACGTGGAGCCCTTCCTACCAAGCTTGCTCCCATTTTGCTGGGACAGGGACACTGTGAGTGGCAGGGGCAGCAGCCACCGGGGCAGGTTTTGTGGAGATGCACAGTGGGAAGCTCCGGCTTAACCCCGCCTCAGCCTCATGATACTGGCACTGCCCTTAGTTGATAGGAAACAGCTCAGAGAAGGGACACTGCTTGCTTAGAGTCACACCGCAAAAAAAAAAAAAAAGCTTGCATTTTGTGCCTTCCATCGTGCTGTTCCCTCCCTTCAGGAGAAGCAGCCCCCTCCAGCCGGCCCTCCCTCAGTCCCGGCGCGCAGCCCCCTGCACCCGGCCCTCCCTCAGTCCTAGTGCTCAGCTCTCTCCTCCAAGACCCAACGCACTCTTCCTCCGTTTGCCTCAGCCCCCGGCCCTCATCTCCTGCCTCTCCTCTTTGTGGCTTGTGAGGGTTGCGCGGACGTGGGAGTGGGGAGAGACCAGAGGGACTGGGGGTGTTTGGGAGCCGAGGCTTAGGGGCCCAGAGGGGACGGAGAAGGGGTTACCTCCGCTCCTGCTGCAGCCTCCGAGTTATCCTCTGCACCTGATGGAGCCTGTTCAGGACCCGCTCGTTCACCTGTGGGGTGGGAACTCCCATCAGCTGGATCCCACGGCTCCCGTTCATTTGTTCAACGGATGTTTAATGGGGTATGTACTAGGCTCCGGGGAGACTGGTCAAAGACCATCGTGTGGGCTGAGGTCCTTCCACCTTCCCCTCCCTCCGGCTCCCCTCTCACCATGCCACAGTCCTGAGTGCCCTCCCGTGGGGGCCTTCCGCATGCTGTTCCTCTACCTGGACCCTCTCCCCAGCCGTCCATA